TGTCCTGTATCGCCCTCTTCGTAGCCACAGCGAACGTTTGTACGTTATTCGATGCACGCTTTATGACGAAAGCTTCTTCTCCCAAATACCCGACTATGAAACCCACCTCCCCGTAGCCATGCGCCGTAACCACTGGGAGTAGTGGCAGGGCGCAGCTGTTGGAGACGCAATTGGATTCCGCCGGCCTCGATGCGATTGGGGCGCAGGAGGACCGCGCGAGGGAAGATCGGCTTCTTTCCGGTATAGCTTACGACCGCTACATTGGAGCCGCCACGCCACAAGGCGACCATGGGCTTGAGGTCTGGCTCCGGCGTTCTCCGACATGGCGACGCGTGACTTGGATCATGCACAGCGACCGCTTGATAGAGGTAAAAGCGAAACATCGCGGCCGCGGTCGTCGCCTAGTTTTCTTATCCGGCCATGCCACGATCGAGGCGGACAACATGATGAACAAACATTTGTTCTGGGATATGGTGCTCCAGGTTACGCCTGGAGCCCAGAAGATGGGGAAGCATGTTGCGCGACTTTTCGATGCGAACGCCTACGTTTACGTGGCGGTCAACGCGAGGCCGCACCCATCGCATCGACTTCGCGGGCTACAATGCTGGATGGTTTGAGCCTGGAAAAGAATGCTCCTGTCCTGAAGGGGTCGCTCTTGCACGTAGTGCTAAGGAAGATCATCGACTCGTACGCGTGCAACTGCGGATTCCCACGGAAAGCGCGAGTTCAGCAGATGCCCGTGCTCATGCTCTAGACCACTCCAGGTACAACGAGCAAAACTTATTCTGACCGCACGCAATTCTTCGAACGCCTCTCATGGCAATTCACTCCGTCGAGGGGCGCTTCAATACACAAGGACATGGACGTATTCACATGTTGTGTCAAGAGTGTCGCGGCGCGAGCTTCCGGCGCTCCCTGGCAGCGCCCACTTCAGCAATGGGTTACACCATGCACGTGGGAACTTCTCAAGTGGCCAAAGAAAAACACATTCCCAATCTCAAAATCGCGGACTCACCGAGGACTCGAAAATCGGTCGAAGACTTCCGGGTATGGTCTGCGCTCGTCGTTGTCCCCCCTGGTAAAATCCTGTCCCGAAATCTACCTCCCCAAAGTCTCGAGGAGCCTGCGTTCTGTCCTGGACCTCGCATTTTCGGGATGGGGTGTTTGTTTTGAGCTGGTGATCAAGCATTCCGGACCTCTGCGAACCTCAACGCATCGCGTCAGGCATGTCCGCGACCGCGAATCTCTACCCCTTGCATTGCACGGTTGGGGTTCCGCGTGCTGTCAGGAATTTGGCATGGATACTACGGTCGATGGAGCGCGTGCTCCCGCGCACCTCGGGTGGGCAGCATGCGCACCAATTCCCGAACGCGCCGTCGTCGTCTGCCACCTCGCGCTCAGCGAAGCTTGGCACTCGACATCTCTACGGCGCACCACGGCTGCCTCGCGCCCTACATTGCGCACGACAAGCGGACGCGATGCGAGAAGCTGGCGCCGCGGGATCAGCGGGCAGCAGAAGCTGGCGACAGCCGCAGCTGCTCCGCTCTTGCTAGGCGTCTTTCAGGGCTTCGGCGGAGACCCACGCCAGGCATCTCATGGAGGAAGGCGTCACGCTCACCACATCAGAAGAGGAGCGACACGACCGTCTGCACATGCACTTTGCGGAAGTATCGCGGGGGCACGCCTCCGATTGGTGGGCCGAGGTGGAGACGCAGCCCCAGGAGGTCACTGCAAGTGGCATCGATTTCAGCCCATCGCGTCTCTTGTCGACCAACCGCAAAGTATCTCAACATAAAGGGCTTGGTCTCGATGGTATCGTGCTGAACCTCATTTGTGCCGGCGGCTCCACGATGGCAGTGCCGCAGTCTCGAACTGCTGATGGAGCTAAGGCTACTGATACTTGGCCGCACCAGGCGAAGGGTAGCAAGTTGGCTTCTCTGTTCAGGGGGAAAGGAGACCCGAGGAACACTGACAATACTCGCGGCCTGTCCATCTGCAACCACCTGACAAAGACCTTCGCCGCCGTCTTGAAGGCGGAGCCGGACCCGTACTACAACGACTTCATCCCCGAGCGGCCAGCGGCGGCGGCAGAGCGGCAGTGGACAAGAGGGGCGGGGAGGAGGAGGAGGAGGAGGAGGAGGAGGAGGAGGAGGAGGAGGAGGAGGAGCCGGGCCCGTACTACAACGACTTCATCCACGAGCAGCAGCACGGGGCAGTCGCGGGCAGCGGCACGGACCCGGCGCACCGTTTCTTGCTTTCGGCCTTGGCGCACGCGGCGGCATTGAATCTACGCTGTTTCATTTTGTACGCTGGCCTTGTCAAAGCACTTGATGGGGTATGGCGGGAGCCCATGCTTCGGCTTCCCGCGGTGCGTCGGCAGCAGCGCGGAGGCGCAGGCGCGGCACCTGATTCCTCTCGGTCTGACCGCTGAGGAAGCCTCGTGGGTGCTCGAATACCTCTGGATGCACGGGCCAGCCTTCAAACAGATGAACGAGCCAGACAAACTCTGCGCGCTGATGAGCGCCATCCATAGCAAGTCACGGTTCCACGCTGACGGAGCTTCGACGTTCGGGGTGACTGCAGCCGGCGGCCGGCAGGGCTGCAAGCTGGGAGCGCGTATCTTCAATTGCTGCTACGCCCTAGCGTTGGTTCAACTTGTGGCTGCGCTTGACGCGGAGGGTATTGTGACGCGGATTAGCTACAAGAGCTCTCCATTTTGTTCAGCTCAGACGGGCCAGCCCTAGAGGAGAACATTCTGGACCTGGCGTTCGTCAACAACTTGGGCGTCGCCCTGTTTGCCAGCACTCCGGAGGATCCTCTCCGAGGCAATCACTTGCCTTCTGCTCCACATTGACTGGGTGTCCCCCAACCTGAACCCAAATAAATACACACAAATAACAGGATTCCCCATACAGTCAAAAACCCTAATAAGGACGCCCGGTAAGGACGCAAGACCCTAGGAAGCCGAAGTTGGGATTTTTGGGGCGGCGGACGACGAAAACCCCAAGGACGCAAGAGCAAGGAAGAGCAAGGACGCAAGGGTACCCTGAGCAAAGTCGCGCGTCATTATATGTTCTGGGTTCCAGTCTTCCTCCACGAGAACCAACTACCCCCAGGGCAAAGCCGAGGGCACGCTCCTGCTCAGGGGCCAGGGCACGGCAGCAGCCCGGGAGAGTCTCTCCAGCGGCCTGGCGGACGCTGTATTTGAGGGGGTCATGGGACACACGAATAGATAGACACAAATGACAGGATTCCCCATACTTTCCCATAGTTTCTGGGTTCTGTTTGTCTTCCCCCCCACTTCCCATATTTTCCCATATCTTCTGGGGAACCGACGATGAATTGTGTCTGTGCCTTTTCCCCTGCTGAGCTGTGGTCTCCCACCACCGAACTCCAGGTGCTCCTACTGGAGTCCGGTGGCTTGGTATATAAGCACCTGGGCTGCCCGATCCGGCCGAACCAATCTTGGAGGCCTGGAAATGGGCACCAGCACCAACACAGGGGGGTTACTTCCACAGTGGGAAGATGATCCCAGATTTCGGTCTTGGTGGCAATATATTTCGGTCACCTTGGAAGCCAGAACACTACCACCATCACCGAGATCGGGATCTCCTTCCCTCGGTGGAAGCACACCGCAGGTATTGATGTTGCTGTCAATCTCTAGGCCTGCGACAATCGAATATGAAATATGTTCGGCAACGGGCTCAGTAGGCAAGCGGCGCGCATGCCCCGCTGGCGCAGAAGATTTTCGCACGTGCAGGAACCGACTAAAAACTCGTTCAAGCGTTCGATGCACGACGCGCGCCTCGTCCTCAACGTTCACGTGCGCGTGCTGTGGGCCCGTGAGATGGGCGTGCTCAACGCCCCGCATATGCGAGTGTGTCGCTGGACCCAAGACCTGGTTAGGTTCGACGCTTCCTCTGTCTCGGACCGCGCTGTGCGACAGCATGGCGGTTATACCTGTGGACTGCATCGCCTTGCGCACGAGGTTGGCGTATCTGCGGCGGCTCGTGTCTTTGTCCTGCACGCCACTGATTGCACTGATTTCAGTGCGTGCTGCGGACGGCGAGCTCCTCCTGCCATGGGCTCGCCAAATCAAAACCGATGTTGAACGTGCTGACCACGTCGCCCTGGCCTCCTCGCAGATCTCACCTCCCCCCCGAAGCCATGAGGAAACCCAGCGAATATTTATGGTTGAGAACCCGAATGAATGGAACGAGGCTGTCCGCAACATTCATTTCGCAGACTCCACTTGCGACTGGGAGGCTGCGCAGGACACGGTCACAGTCGACCAGATCCCGTGCACTGAGTGCGCGCTGCGTTTCAGCACGCGCAAAGGCTTGCTAGTTGCGCGCCATGCACGGCATTAAAGCAGTTATGCGATATTGTACCCGCGCAGACCGAAAGTAGCAGTGTTGCCAGACAGTGTACAGCTTACGTACTCGTGGAATTGCCCACCTTACGGACTGTAGGAGGCCAAAGTGCCACGACTGGGTCCTACAGCACGGTTCCAGACTAAGTGAAAATGTGGTGCAGAAGCTTGACGCAGCACACCGCGAGCTACGCTCGGAACAACGACGGGCCGGACATACGAACGTGTTGTCTAGTGGACCCGCCGTGCTTACAGGAAGCTCACGTAGAGGGGGCCGCAGACCTTGAACCAAAGAACTTCAATTTGTCGTCACAGTGTACAGCAGTTGTTGCTTAGACTTCGCCTCGGCATAGAGTCCGAAAAACAAAAAGAACAACACGAAATTACAAACGGCCCCCAGAACAACAGAGATTGCCACAGAGCACGAAGAATCGCCACCAGGCTCTCCTCGAACTCGTCTTGAACATCCTTCCTGCAGAGGGACGCGCCCGACTCCACCCTACCCCCCCCTGCGCGTCGCGAGACTCACCCTTTCCCCTCCGCGCACGCGCCCGCGCGCGGCCGCCGGCCCGCTGGCCCGCCTGCGCGCGCGCCTCCGCGCCCGCCTCCGCGCGCGCCCGCGCGCGCGCCGCGTCTGCCGGCACCGGCCGGCCCGGGCTCGGCGGGCGCTTCCGCGGCCAGGGCGCGCTGCGCGGCCTCGTAGGCCGCCGTGACCTCGTGGAAGACCTGCGGGGCGGCAAGGTCCGTGCACATCCGCCGCCCCTGGCCAGGCCCACGCTGGGCCCCGGGGCGGTGCACACGCCCTCCCTGGCCCAGGCAGGAGCGGCGCGCCCGTATGTAGCATGATGAGATATGATATATGTCCTAAACGAAATAGTGTCAGATAACATCACACAGTATACGATCAGGCGATCTACTACAATGTAGTACACCATGTGCTATAGTGTACTCCAATGTATGATAGCATGATAAATTGCACGACCATGAAGTATAGCGAAATTATCCCGGCAAAGCAACCTAACAGCGATGTGTAGAAGCATATCTGAAAGCATTCCCCTTAAGATTCAAATGAAAATCCAGTTGTCGAATTCTGCTGTTCTCGCAGTCGTAGTCGCATTCGCGATGACAGTCGCAGCGGCAACGGCAGTCGCAGTCACAGCCTCAGCCTCAGCCTGCCTCAGCCTCAGCCTCAGCCTGCCTCAGCCTCAGCCTGCCTCTGCCTCAGCCTCAGCCTGCTTCAGCCTCAGCCTCAGTCTGCCTTCAGCCTCGGCCTCAGCCTCAGCCTGCCTCAGCCTCAGCCTGCATCAGCCTCAGCCTCAGCCTCAGCCTGCCTCAGCATCAGCCTGCCTCAGCCTCAGCCTCAGCCTGCCTCAGCCTCAGCCTCAGTCTGCTTCAGCCTCAGCCTCAGTCTGCCTTCAGCCTCGGCCTCAGCCTCAGCCTGCCTCAGCCTCAGCCTGCCTCGGCCGCAGCATCAGCCTGCCTCAGCATTCAAAATGTGGCCCAGGAATGGAGTTCTGGGAACTAGAAGAACACGAAGTGGCCTACAGTTGGCTCCGGGCATTCAAAATCATGCCCAGGAATGGAGTTCTGGGAACTTGAAGAGCACGAAGTGGCCTACAGTTGGCTCCGGGCATCCAAAATGTGGCCCGGGAATGGAGTTCTGGGAAATCGAAAAGCACGAAGTGGCCTACAGTTGGCTCCGGGCATCCAAAATGTGGCCCGGGAATGGAGTTCTGGGAAGTCGAAGAACACGAAGTGGCTACAGTTGGCTCCGGGCATCCAAAATGTGGCCCGGGAATAGAGTTCTGGGAGCACCAAGAGCGATTTTGCGAGGATGTCCCAAGCGATTTCGGCTTCGACGGCAGCTCCCCGGGTCCCGCCCAGACCCTCCTGAGGAGTCATGATGCTCTCTTCTGAGACCACTAGAAACCTATCAGCAAGAGCTGTTAGGTAAAAATACGCTAATTTAAAAAGATGCAGTGTATTATGATATAGCATGATATTCGGTATAGCACGATACATAACATTATGGGATACAGGAATATCGCTTATGATAAAGATAAACGCCATTCCTTACCATGTCAAAGGTAATATACGATACCACGAACATATGGCATGACAAAATGAATATTCGTAGATCGTAACATCTGTAAATATGTGTGTGATATGAGATCCACTGCTATACTATGTCATAATATCACCTAATACATTGAAATAGAATATGATAATATGGAGCCATGCGTAGTGCACAATAAGATCTACATTTAGATATGGAACTATACATTACAATATGATCTGGCATGATGTACTACCATATACTACCATATTGCAGGATACAATCTACCGTGTTTCAATCCAGAATACAGCATATAAAACCATATACGACGACTGGATGATATATGATGAATGCTTTTCTGAATGACATGACATACCACACTAGTATATCATATACTCGAATGCATTGTTGTATAGTATACTGTATTGTCGTTACTATGATTATGTACTACAAAGCTTAACCTCATTTTCAACAGAATATAAGCATATACCATGAAATAAATACAATCAAAAAGAAGAAGCGGGTACATGTCGTAATATACAAGAGTATGATATCAGATGGAATGAAATAGAAAGTCGCACTTTGAAGTGAAAATGAAACTTTGAATGAAACTGTAAGAAATGTCTTGATATGATATAGCACGACATGTCAGACATTATGATATACTGCACGATACTAGAATAAGATATCGAACAAATCACTACAAATATGACCTAGTAATATATACATGTATATATATGTGTATATACGAAAATGCCTTATATCATAATGAACTATAAAACACTAGAAGGAAAATAAACACCTACAAATATATAGATCCATAGATCTAAATGAGTAGATATACGTTGTGTATGCACCGCTCCTGCGCCCAGGATGGGCCTGGCCAGGGGCAGTGGATGTGGATTGATCTCGTCTCCCTGAACCTGAGCTGTGGATTCCGCACCCTGCTTGTCGGGGTGGACCTGGCGGGCCCTTCGGCGGTACGCGGCGCGCAGCTGTCCCGCAGTGGCCCCGTCGGCGGAGATGCCGAGGGCCTCCAGTGCCCAGGCAGGCCCGGTCGCCAACGGCCCGCCAGCCTCGGCGGCCTCGGCGCGCTCTGTAACCGCGCGCCGGCGCTTGCGCGGCGCCCGCTGCTGACCGCCAGCGCCCTCGCCGGGGCCTTCCGCGCCCACCACCTGCAGCGTCTGCTCGTCCACCACCTCGACCTCGACGCAGCCGCCGCCGCGCAGGCGCCGTGCGGTCCGCGGCCCCGGCGGCAGCGGCCACTGCTCGAAGCTCAGGGGCACTGCGCCCTCGACCTCGACGCAGACCTCGACCTGGCGCCCGCACCCCTCCAGCGCGTTGCTGCTCGCCAGCACCGGGGCCAGCTGGAGCGTGCAGCCCTCCTGCGACCCCAGGCTGCAGTGGAGCATCACCGCGGCGGCGCGGCAGCCGCGCAGCGTGTTGCCGCGAAGCTCCGCGGCAGGGTTGCCGTAGATGCCCACGCCGACGTCGCAGCCGTCCACCTCGTTGCCCTCCAGGACCACTGGGCCGCGGACCGACACCCCGACGCGGCGCGCCCGGATCGAGCAGCCGCGCACGACGCCCGCGCCCTCGTTGCCGACTTCCACCCCGCAGCGAACCTCGCAGTCCTCCAGCTCGCAGCCCCGCCCGCCCAGGACGGCGCAGCCGCGAACGACCACCCCGCGCAGCACCACGCGCACTTCCTCGCCGCCGGGCTCGGCGCTGCCGTGCGCGTCCAGCCCGACGTCCCGCACCGACGCGGCCCGGCCGGGCGGCCCGAGCACCTCGATACGGCGGAGGGTGTCGGGCCCAGACGCGCTGGCCTGCAGCTCCAGGGGCCACGCCTGCGCGGGCTCGGAGTGCCCCTCCTTCGGCTACGAGCGAGAGTGACCCGTGGGGCGCAGAAGGACGTATTCATACATTGTGCTGATGTTGGAGGCGCGCGTCCGACACGAACATGTAGTATACAAAACTTATATAATATCGTTTCCCGAGCGGTATGACCAGAAAGCGCCCGCCTCGGAGCTTATACTATTGTGTAGGGTTTCTGAGCACGCGCGATGCCCTTGCGGAACCGACGCATACATAGTATAAGTATGTTCGGGTGGTGCCGAACCCTGGGCAAGAGTGACCTTTGGTGCGCGGCGTTACGGGGCCGCGGGGGGGCCAGATCCAAGCGAGCAAGCCAGTGCTGGGGGGGAATCCAGTGGACCCCGCACCACGGGTCACTCCGGCAAAGGGTCACTCTCACGCGTAAGCCGACTCCTCCAGGCGCACCACCACCTGAGCGACGAAAAGAAGCAGGCCTCACGCGAGATGACATAGCGGCCTTACGCCGAGCCTCACGCGTGCCTCCAGCGTGGCACGCCACACTGGAAGCGAGGGCGCGCACGCGGCTCTTACGCGGGCAGCATACGCGCCACTGCCAATGAAGACGACGCCGTCGCACTGGCGCGGGTCAGTGCAAGCCTTGGTCAGTCAGGCCTTACAGGATCCCGTAGGATCAAAGGAGGAGGGGGAGGAGGAGGAGGAGGCGGAGGAGGAGGAGGGGGGAGGAGGAGGAGGAGGAGGAGGAGGAGGAGGGAGGAGGAGGAGGAGGAGGAGGGGAGGGAGGAGGAGGAGGAGGAGGATGCAGGGTCCTGCAGGGTCCTGCAGGACCCTGCGCGCTGGCCCGATGCAAATGCATCCCTCGCTCTGCAGGGATCCACCAAGATCCGGCGCTCTGGCGGACCCCCGCTTGTATCGGCCCCCACCTCGAGGCTGATAGGCCGATTGTCCACCGCCACTACCGTAGGTAGGAGAGGGAGGAGGAGGAGGAGGAGGAGGAGGAGGAGGAGAAGGAGGAGCTCCCCATCCTCCCTTCTCCCCCGTCCTACCCGTGGTGGCGGTGGCGGAAACTGATCCATCAGAGGCTCCCGAGCTCTTCCGCGTCGCCCACCTCCGGCGAGCCCCTCTGCCGCGCCACCTCCAGCGCCGCCTCCACGCTCGGCGCGTCCGTCGGCACGGAGAGCTCCACGGCCATTCGCGGGGGCGGTGCCCCCCCCCCGGCGGCGGGGCCTGGAGCAGGGCGAGGGCGGGGCGAACCCGGAGGAAGACGGCGACTGTGGAGGCGGCCGGGGGGTCGGAACGCAAGAGCGGCCCAGGAGC